CAGTTTTTAGTTATATTCATGTATGCTATCAATTTGAGTTTGCATTTCATACATCCTGTCCTAAATAAAGATTTTTAAAGCTTGTTCTTTCTTATTCAAATGTTTTTTATTTTTTTTAAGCTTTTATTTTCATTTTTACTTTTTACTACTCAGGTAGTTCTTGAACTGGAGCACTCATCTGATATAATTCCCTTTCTTAGGGAATTAGTCTGTTTGGTTTATTTCCTGTCTTCATCTGCTGGTAGGAGGGCAAATTGCCAACTGGACTGGCATTTTCTGGATTTGGAGAAATTAAACTTGCAGGTAAGAAATTACTGGTTTTTCATAGGTATAACTGGAAACAAAACTGCCTTTTTGTTTATTAACCAAAAATCTGTGTAAATGGGTCTTTCAGAATAGGCTTCCAATGGCAGGAATCTGGATTTGATCCAGGGGAAACTGGAAATCCAGTCTAGCTGACATGAGACCACAAATTTTATATGATTACCAAGATAAAGCTTTTCTATATTAGCTTGGACTAAACTTTTTATATCATTTTCATTTTGCATACAGAAGCACCATGTACAGCCTGTCTTTTGCCCCCATTCCCTGCTATGAATAACCAAATCAAGTCAGGTCACAGTTTCAAGCTGCAGAAGTCTTAGATGTGTTAAATCAAATGAGTAATTTCTTATCCTTTCAAGAGGTAGCTGAGCTGCCAAAAGTAATGCTAGTGCAAACAGAACTTGTTTGTAGGGTTACCTTATGAACGAAATTAAAAAAAAAAAAAAGCTGCTTTAAAAAAAAAAAGTTTAAAAATCGGACATTTCATTGATCCCTTTTCATGGCAGCTCCTACGTGATTGTACCAGAACAACTGAAAGGGCAGCATACTGTGGAGCAGTGATATTTTTAATTGCATTTTATTATTATATGTGTACCATACATCATGATATTCTTCTGTGCTTAATAAATAATCTCAAAATAATAAATCATGAAATAAATATCTCAAATAAAATGACAAACATTGAGGAAATCGGCAACTAAATATTCTGGAGAGTAACTGACAAAGGCAGGGCCAGTGAACACTAGTGGAGAAGGATGTTCATCATAAGACTTCACAAATCTCACTTTTCTCTACTTCTTAAATATGCAATTAAAGGACTGAAAGTCAAAAGCATGCAGAGACATTTCTGGGGCTAGCTATAGAAACCTGATGTTAATACTCTGGCTGTTGCTGTTATTCTTGAATAAAAGTAAGTGAAACTGCAGGCCTGGTGGGAGCATACATATCTGCACTTCAAGCAGACACTTATTCCTAACTTGGAGTATGTTAGTATTGATCAGTTAATGAATCACTGGTATTCTTTTATAATCGGCAGGAATTCATTAGCAAGATGTTTTACTGAATACTTTTCTTTGTTTTCTATGAGGAGCTTAACTTAAATAGTGGTTCCTGATGTAGAGAACAAAAAAATATAAAAGTAAGCTAAATATTTATTAGTTTTTAATGATGTATTCTAGTATTAAGCTGATGTTCTCATCTCTTTTGCTGTTTATTTTTCCTAGCAATTTATTAGTTGCAGTAGTATTTTGAATTTGTATGGAGTTTTTCTTTTTTTAGACACTAAAAAACCAAACAAAACCACAATTTAAATGTCATAACTTAAATAAGGTGTCCTGGGCTGACGTGGTAAGACTGTGTTTTATACTTATATATGTGCATTATGCAAAAATCCGTGCCATGAAGTAATGCAAAGGATATTTGATCATTTTAAAAGCAATTTTTTGAAAATACATTGTGTCTCCAGCATCACAAATGCTTCTCTCCTGTGATAAGTCCCAACAAACATTTCACTGGGTTTGCCTCACTTACCACTTTTCAGTATGAAAATAGCAATTCAGCAATTACTTCCAAAGGAATTAGAAATATTCTCTCTCTGTCTGCCATCACTTCAGTATTTCTTAATTTTTGTAATGTTTTTCAGAACTTTAAACATGATATGAAGTTATCTTTATAAAAATATTTGTTGGAGGACTGCTCAGGGCACAAATGTTGAGAGCAGGAGAAAAATAATTATTTTCTTTCTGCAGATCACAAAGGACAGCTTCTGCTACTTTTTGCCAACGTAATTATAATGGAAATGATGGTAGGTAGAGAAGATACCAGTTAGTGGGTGGGGGGAAAAAGTTCACAGGCTTTCAGACAACTAAGAATTTTTTCATGCCTTTCATTCAACCCCTCTGCTCTCATAATAAATTTTACGTATTCTCCCTACTCTACACAAAACTTTCTGCACTCCGCAGTCTCACCATGCTAGTCCAGGATACCCTATTCAGCCATATCTCACACACTACCTTTCTTTAAATTCAAAAACTAATAATACAGTCTCTTACTAAGATCCACTGTATTCTTCATGTACCAACTACCTTCCTGAGATTATTACATTCAGAAGCCATTGTTTCTATCTTCTTTTTGGCTTTCAAGTTTTCTATTTCCAGTCTGAAGAAAAAGAGTCAACAGCTTGTTATATATGCTCATTTGCTTGTTTTCATTCAAACTTGATCATATTTTCTTCTTTTTTAACTTCTCTCTTTAGAAAACCCTTTTGTCTCTCTTACTTTTCCTCTTCCCTTTTTGGAATGTCCTTGCTTTTACTCCTGTATTAAATGGCTTAACATATTGTCTCCAAACCTTATCTTGCATCGTCCTTAAATCATCATAGCTAGAAAACCAATAGAAGAGTATTTTATTGAATTTTATTTAAAAATAGATCTGCATGCTTGTGATCTTCAGTGTTATTCTTATGATTTATTATGGATTTTGATCCATGTAAGTTATGCTTATAAGTTATGAGGTAATGTCCTGCATTTTTGTTATTGTTATTGTTCTAACTTCCTATTGTCTCTACTGAATACTGTGTTTGGATTGATTTTATATATTAAAAGTTATTTTTACGTATTTTTAAAAGTTCCAAATAAAAGCATAAAAGTTTTAAGAGGGAAATAGTTACTTGTGTCTCCTACTTGATGCCTAGTTTTCCTCCTAAGCATGATGGAGTGGTTTAAGTAGCGATCTACTGGAACTGTCTTTAAATGTTGTTATGCTAAAATCTCTGGAGGAGTTTGGTTAGGCTTTGTTTCAGAATTTCTTTGTCCACACAAAGGGTGAAATTTCAGGTTACTAGAGCATAAAGATTTGCGGAAAAAGCCTCAACACAGAAACCTACATAAAATGCCAACATTCCACTATTGGCAACTTGTCTGTAGATGTGTGGTTTTATTGTCTTTGCTTAGCATGTTTATTTAATAATAACTTAACACTGCTGCTGAGTTGTGTGGTGACACCATACAGGAGTTGTTCAAATGGGAATTTATATGTACATGTTATATGTGTATGAATTTGCATTTAGTTACTGCGTGCACAAAAATTCTATGAAAGTATACAGGAGGTCCTTCTGATGTAATGTAACTGGCTAACCTCACAGAACTTGCTAGGTCAGTGTCTCAGTTTCCTAAAATCAACAAGCCTTTAAGAGACTTGTTTAATGCTTAGTGTGCCCCATGGGATTAGGGGAATTACATGGGGAAGTGAATGCCATACAAGATATTTGAAATTATTGAGAGCTTTGGGTTATCAAAGTGGTTATTTCTATAGAGCCCTTAGAGAGGAGGGTGAGCGAGGAGATCCCCAGGTTGAAAAGTCAACTGTTTACTTGCATGAACACTAGGGGAATTCGTCATCTTGAAAAAAGTTCCTTGAAAATAGTTTTGTTCACTGTGGTGCTTCACCACCTTCTCTTGCAAAATTGCTGTGCATCTGTCTCCTCTGTCAAACTCAGCTACTAAAAATTCCTTACTGAGCTCACTACTGTCTTACCTCGTTTTGTGGGAAATTTTGGCTCTTTGGGCGGCATTATGTGCCCTTACTGAAGTTCTTGTCTAAATAGTTCAGGTACCACTGAAATAAAACTGCATTGTAAAAATAGACCTGTTGACGATGTTATTTGTGAAGTCACATAAATGTATGTGTACCATGAGTAGTTATTTAATTTGCTGTGCAGTTTGGCATTTCAGATAACAGCATGGCATTCAGCTTTGAACTGAGTACATTTCATATGGAGATACGTAACATTAGCTATTTGCTTCAGGCCAGAGATAGTCAAGCTTATTGTAGGGCAGCATTTTACTATTGCCTAGTATTTCATTGACTGGAGGATTTACGGGTTAATAAGCATATTACTTTTGTTTCAAGAGTTATATACAGTTATATGCCTTATACAGCAGTATAAGGGTAGGTTGGAGGTTGCCTTATGCAAAAAAAGCTGATCTTGTCTTGATGCCTGAAGAGCCGTGTACTTTCGTTATTTCTGTATGACTTTTGGCAGATGGTTTCCAATATTGCTGTATTAGCTTCCTCATTTCCAGAATTTTAGAAAACTGGTCTGCTTCATGGGAATATGAGGCAAAATCAATTTGAAGCTGTAAGGTACTCAGCTAACATGTTTTCTGTACTTAATAACATAAATTACTAGAAACTGTAGGGTGGTAGAAAACAGAATAGCTATGGGTTATATTTTACCTGGAAGCATATAATGGAATTACCATGTCTGTTTTTTACCATTCTGCAAAAGTATTGGATGGGAAGAGGAAGGGCGTGTGTTCAAACTGAAAAAAAAAATGGAGAGGGGGAAAAAGACATCATGTTCCCATAGTTGGTTTGCAAATAGTTGCCTGTTAATTACCATCATGCTGGCAGAAAGAATCTTTAGAACGCAGTTGCTTTTTTATTGGTTTTGCAGAAAGATTCGAACTTCAACTTTTTTCTGTTCCTAAATACATCTCAATAGGTTTCTAAGTTGCTTCCCCTAGGAAAAATGAAGATTTTCAGATGCTTTATGAAAACTGCAATCTGTTGGTTGCTCGAAGTAGATCATCAACTTGGTCATGTCCTGTTTTTCTTTCTGTACCTTAAGGAATTGCATTTTATAGACTGAGATTTACTGCTTTTTGTATTCACAGGACTGTGCTAAAGAATAATGACTTGAGATCAAGACAAGAATTAACTACTCACCTCACCAATCAGTGGCCTTCCCCAGGAGCTCTGGATGTCAATGCTGTTGCCTTGGACACTCTACTCTGTAGAAAGCACAATCAACAATGGGATGAGTAAGTTGAATATTTATATTGATTCACCTTTAGAGGAACATGAAAACTCAAAATCATACATTTCCCTTAGCATACTCTGAAATGTATCCTATTATAATTACCTGCTACAATGTACAAGGATCATTTGGCAGAAAAAAATCAGTTTCTCTCGCTTAGCATAAAAATTTCCTTCCTTTGGATTAATTAAAACAAAAAAAATATTGCTTTAGGAAAAAACAGTGGGTTAGGAAACAAACAAACAAAAAAAAGTAGAGTTTAAGAGAAGCAAGATTAACTGCCTAGTCTTTCTTTAGGAAACTTTTTAAGGAGAATCGAAGATACCTAGTTAGATCTTTAAATGTGTTACTATTAAATATTACTTCCTTTGCAGGAAAAGTTTTCAAAGTCTGGACCAACTTTCAGCAGAAGTTAGTCTTTCTCAATCCTCTCTGGATCCAGGTCACTCACAGGATGGGAAGCAGGATGGAATGAACTTGTTAAACGAAGGTACAGAGCCAGTCTAGTGGCTTCATTTTACTTTGTTCTTCATAGCTCTGATCTTCAGTCCCTGTGAGATGAAGCTTAAGTGTGAACAAAATATGCATTGCACAGCATATTTTTTCATTTTTATGCAAATTGTTTCAGTTTCCCTAAGGACTATACTCCATGTAAGTTTGGATTTATGAAGATGCCTCCCCCACCCTGCAATAATTATAAGACTTCATGCTGTATTTAAAGCTAAGTTTAAATATGTTGTATATCTTCCTTCTCCATCACAGAACCAGAGGCAGCTCAGCTATAAAGAGGATCTTTTGTCATCTCTTTGCTATAACTAACGCAAATCTTTTGAGTTCTTTAAGATTCCTTTTTTGTTCCTGAAAAGAAAGATTAAAGGCACTGGATTTGCAGCTACCGCTGTCATTCTTGCATCTTGCATTCTACAGTTATCTGCAGAGATGCAGCCTGTGTTTCTGTTGAAATAGAGAGAGGAGCATGATATGAACCATGCTAGGATATAGATGTAATAGACACACACCCCCTCGCAAATCTGTACGCTTATCGAAGTTTAGCGGCTCCATCTTGTGGGCAGTTGTGAGAAGCCGAAAGATGCTGAAAGACTTCTGAAACAGAAATATTTTGAGTACAGAGCATAAATTGCTATAAAAAATCATTTTTGTATCTCATCGAAAGTTAACTTTAAATAGACTTGACAATACAGAGCCTTAGTAGCTCATAACTGTAAAACTTCTTGGTTTTAAAATATGAAGGATGTAAAATTCAGAACTTTTTTTAAAACTGTAAACAGTCTTAAAATGTAAATTACTGCAAGTTAGCTAGAGAAAGACCATAGAATCAGCATGGCTATTATGAAGAGAGTTCTTGTGCAGATCTACTTTAAACTGCTTTTTTGCAATATTAATCATTTGAAGTTATGCTTTGTTTTCTCTTCTGTAAATTAAAGTGTGGCAAAACCACTGATAATAATAGTTTAAGTTTTGATTTCAACGCTGTGCCTTTAAAGGTAGCACAACATCTCACTTTTAAATTAGTGAGGTTCTTCAGTACCTAAGCCTTAATATAATTTTGTAGGACACGGCATGTGATCCTGCTGTTAAAATACCTGTGGTCTAACTCTCAGTATGACGATTTTCATTAGAAGTAGTAAACTTTCACATTACTATTAAGCCCACTCGTGTAGTCAGATTTTTAGCTTCACGCTTGCTGAATTCAAGGGCTGTGCCCAAACAGTGTTACACTGCTCTCTCTGTGTTTTATGTCCTCAAATTGAATGTAGCCTTTAATGGGTAATTTTTATAGGAATAAAGATTTTTCTAAAAGTGAAGACTTTTTAATGGAGCTAACCTAGTTCATTCTTTAGTGAAAGCTATTCGGTCGCTTGAAAAAAGCTCGGTAGAGGCGAGACCTAAATCTACTGGAAAATGCTGATAAGAACCATAAACAATGCAAGAGAACTACATGTCACTTGGTTTTTTTTTTTCATAATGAATTGTTGGGCAGAGCACAGTCTGGGTTGTTTGGTTTTTTTCTTACATCCTTCTCATAAGAAAAACTTTTCTGTCAAGAACAGGAGGCACAAAATTAAGAAGTGCTACTTCCTAGACGTGATATTAAAAAAAAATCTGGTAGACAGGTTTATCAATAAAATCTTGTGCCTGTGACCCTTTTAAGTTCATTTTAATCTCTACTCTAAGGTGATCTTTTCTACTCTTCAGGTCAGCCAGGAGGATGAAATAGATGCTGGTAGATCAAATTCTTTATAATGTAATTTATTAGTGGAGTTGGTACAAAATAACTTGAGCAGATATTCTGAGAAGGGAAAACATAAAATAAATAGACAAATTGTCCAGTGCAGTCTTATACCTATAGGTAGGTTTCATGTTAACTGTCAAGTGTATTTGGACGACTCGCACTGCCACTCCTGCACTATAGGGCTTTTTCCAGTGGTCGGAGCCTAATGCACTTCAAATTACCAAGGTTTAAAAAACAAATTCTGAACATCTTTATTTTTAAAGAAATATATCCTGATTCCAGTTAATTCTACTCCTTTCTGAGAGGTTTAGAATTACATCTCTGGTACTCTCATTGTATTAGTAATGTCACTGCCATTTATATATAGTGTATTCAGCTAGAACCAGTGCTTGAACTAGTAGCTTCAGTTCACCGTGTAGGAGACTGACTACAGCCCAGCCTGGAATGCATGGGTAGGGATCTCTTTACCACCTGGACAGGGAAGGTATGGCATAAGTTATATGCCTTTCCAGTTGCATGTATGAAGTATGCATATGCTGAAGCAGTAATAACAATTCATAGTAGCGTAGATGAAACAGTTTTTTCTATTCCCTCATTTTTTTGTGGTCAGGTCATCTTGTGCTGTAAAAATTAATAGCTTAATTCTTGTTTTGCTTAACAGGGAAGGAAGACACTCCATCGTTGCTTGGTTTATGTGGCTCCCTGACATCAGTAGCAAGCTACAAATCTCTCACAAGTTTGAAATCGAGTGAATATCTTGCAAGTCCCACAACAGAGATGACAAGTCCAGGCTTAACACCGTCTTGAGACAGACACAAGAAGGAAGAGCTTTGTGTTGTATGCATTTGGTTTATGTTCCATGAAGTGACTTGCAATGAAGACTGCTAGTTCTGAGTTAAAAAATAAGCTGCTTTATTTTTTTCTTTTCATGGTTACCTGCTTAATTCACAAATTCTGTCAGTTTTCATTCAGACTTTTTTTTCCCCTCGGAGGACTTTTCAGATTTTCTATTTTAGTCTTGAATTATTTAAAGCTCTTGGGTCAGGTACAGGACATATAATCTGATGCTTATGACTGATTTTTAAAATGAAACAGTTGGAAATCAGTCCTCTACTTAACTGCCATGACCTTGGTTTCTCCTTGCAATGGCCTGGCCCTACTCTAGCCATGGCGCTTCTCTGCAGTGCTTCAAATATCTATCAACTCTCGCAGAACAGACAGGGAATCCTTAAGGCCAGTCTTTGTAGGCAAATAAATATTTTACCTAAAAATCCAGCTTTTCATCTGTGTATGTTGCGTAGGACCTCAAAAAGCATATTTAACCTATCAACAGCTCTTCTCAAGTTGACCCAATGATAGATTTTGCATTCCTGTTAGTATCATGGCCCTTAGGAGATGTCTGAATCGCACCGAAGAATCACACTGAAACACTCTCACCAGTTCTTGAAGTTGCATGTGAGTAAAAAATGTAAGTTGATCATCTAAATCTAGCATATTTAGCAATTTGTAAATGTTGAGGAAACTCACTGAATGCTTTTGAGTGACCTGAGTTACAGATAATCAAACATTATACGAGAAATTTCTTGGTTTATCGGCCTTGCTGGAAAGACAGGGACTAAGGATGGTGCGGTTAGCACCTTGGGAAGCTTGGATTGTGTGTTTATTGGCGAGATCCCAAGGAGAGTGAAAAAGGGGAAACAAAGACAAGGTAATGACAGTATTCTCATGTTAAAGATTTTTCTCATTCCTGTAGTAGTGCAATAGGTATTTTTCTTGATTAGGTAACACAGCAGAACTTATTTAAGTCAGTTTTCTCAAATTACTTGCCATTGATTTAAATTACTGATAGAAAACAAAAAAACAGGGAGATGTTTTTTAAATGAAACTAACTTTCCAGATTACCCTACAGTTTCAAAGTTTGCAAATTAATTTTTGAATTGCAAACTGTATTCTTAATTCTTTGTAAGATACAATGGATCCTTTATCTATGACTTTTGCTAATCAAGGTAATGCTTATCAGTATGATCAGTAACTTTTTAAAAAAAACTTAAATGCATGTAAGTACGTTGTATTTATAAGTGCTAGGGAAAATGCTTTTTTGTGCCAAAGAAGTTTCATAAATTGTTTACATGAGTAGCTGCAATACGAGACAGATTTTTAATTATTGCTTACTCTTAGATGTTTACAGTATGTCACTACACTCCGTACGGTTTTAGTTGATTTGCCTCTTGTAATGGTACCTTGGCACTACTACTGTAATCTGGTCATCTTAGCGTGGGCTTGAAAGAAAGAAGAGTCATTCTTACTTTTACTAAAAACTGTAGGAAATATTTAGCCTTTGTAAGTATGAGGCTACGCATCTCTGGAACGCAACGCGCTGTTGGATTTAGCTGGAGGAGGTTCAAGATGCATCTCCTCAACCCTCTAGTCCACAGCGATGGAGGTTACTGCATCCACAGCAGGCTAAACAACTACTGCTGCCATTTAAATGCAGATTTTTAAAGCAGCTTAACAAAATCCAGCAGACCTTGTCTTTCAAGCCCACATATACCCACCCTGTTAATTTCTCTGTAATAAACTCTGACCATTAAATCCTTTCATACATCCTCAGAATATCCATTACTTCATGTAACTGGGGTTTTTTTTTGTTACCACATTAAGCACTTGTTCTCTCATGGCAGTTGAGTAACATTATTAAATACTAATTTGTAAACTAGAGATGCATTTTTACTACAAATACAATGAGGGAATCCGGATTCCACAAGTTAATGTTCTACATCAAGGTACAGTGATTTAATCGGTCTTGTTTGCTGTTAAACTCTTCTCCCACTACGTCAGTGTTTTGGAGAGGGGTGCAATCATGATCTTCAGTCATGTTTGTTGATGGCTCTTTTCTTGGAGCTACTGGTGTGAAATTCACGTGTCGTTTAACTGAAGTCTTTTGTGTGGTCTGACACCACTGTGAGTTTCTGGGTGTTTTGTGCATGGGAAATCAGTTATGTGTGTCTTTCTCAGTTGTAAACATTAATCATTTTTTCAAAAAAATTGAAAAAATGCCAAAACTGTATGTTTTGTTGCCTTGATGTTCCATAAATGTTGCATGTAAATTAAACATTTTGTATCATCGCGAATTTACTAGTTTTGTCTCTGTTTTAATCATACAGGATAAAATAAGAGCATTTGGCAAATTGCAGCATTATGGAGCCTATAGCAAATTCTTTTATTGCAAAACAGGGAGACTTAGGTTTTTGTTGCTGTATTTAATTCCATGTGGTCCAAAATCTGCTGTTGCTACTTTCTTTCTCTTAGGTCTGATTTTGAGTTTGTACTGTAAAATTACCTTGAAAACAACGAGGGAACAGTGTCAAATCTCTCCTGTAGCAGTACCTCTTGCCTGCACTGTGTGCTGTAACTTTGTACCTAACATCTTTACAACTAGAGCATTTTTCAGTGCATGATGAATTTTCACCAAGTCCAAACACATGCTGGGGGAGATATCTTTTCATAGTAGAGTAGGACTGAAGTCTTTTTCCTGGGTAAAGCGTACCTGGAAGTTGGTGTCTTAATGACCTGACTACTGAGTTGCTTTTGTACCAGCAGACCCCTTCATTAAAATAGGCAAAAAATAAAATTCAACCATTTTATTGAAAGTGCATGAAAGAAGAGATGTAGTGAGGGTAGTTTAAAAATAATTAAATATATATGTATACACACACACAGAGGAAGCTCTGATTCAACAAGTCAAGTGTTTGTGGGCAAGGGAGATGCTGCAGCTGTTCATACGACGTGTGCACAGCACAGCGTAGCAGACAATGGCCGTGTCAATAGTAGCAAACTAAATGTGCTTGTGCCTTCAGCTAGGTACGCGTCCCAGTAAAACCGACATGGAACCATCTGCGTTTATGCCAGCAAACTTGGCCTTCAAAACCAGGTGATCCCATACAGACTGTGGCTGGGGAACGCTCCCCAGCAGGGAGCCTGGCCTTGCCTTGGAGCTTTGTGACAGTGACAGCTTTAGTTTCTTAGAACATTACCTTAAATTAAAAAGCCACTGCAGCACCTATCAATGTATTCACCGTGCTCTCTGAGTTTCTAATGAGCACAATGTTCTTTTACCAGCTTGACCTAGAGCATTTTTCATTTTAAATAAACCTGAGAAGAAGCCAAAGACTATTTTATGATATGCATTTACACAAAATACAGAGCTGTGAATAAGAAACATGCACCAAATTAAACATGTTTTAAGCAAGAATAAATAAGTGCTTATTGAATTCATTCTATATCAGCCTCCTTATGGAGGAATAATCATATACAATTGGAAGCCCAAAACATTTTGTAAACATCATTTTAAATACTCAACAAAAATCTTTAGTCAGACTGAAAATTAACATAGCGGCAGTGGTTATTTTATGTTGCTCTGTCCTGCCTCATTTTTTTTCCCCTTCAATCATCACTGAAAAACAATCAGAGCACCTCTTCTCCCACCCCGTCTTCCTTCCATTTTTTTCTGTAGCTGCAAGAGAAGTCACAAAAATCTTCAATGATCATTTAAGGGTCATGTGTATTTTCTTAGTCTTAAGAAAACAGAAAAGTGAATTTATCCTTTGTGAAAGTTAAAAATGAAGCTGTATTTAGTTACCAAATGTAATGGCAGAGATTCACTGGGAATTCTAGAAAATGCCTTGACAGATTCAAATATGGCACAATATATTTCACCATATATTTTGACTACACACAATCAGAAGAATGAGAATTATGGATGTTGGTTCATTTTTTTCATTTAAATGAGAAAAGGACTTTCCGTGTTCAAATGTGCTGATCATTATGGCACAAGCAGGAGCAACTTTAAACAGCCGTGCAATAATACCTGCCCAGAAGAGAAAGGAAAGTATTCACTATCGTTTGTTTTCAGACTGAAGTGCTGTAGAACCATTTAGTGGTCACAATATATTGATAACATGGTGTCTTAGTGTAGAACTGGGATTCTACCTGCCCACATTCCTCAAAATACTGAAATTACCAGCTGTAAGTATTATCACTGTAATAACCTTATGCGCTCACCTATGCCATCCTGTGTGGCCTGCGTGCCTCAAGCCCATTGTGTTTCTACCTCTTCTGTTTGGCCACGGAGGTGGAGCACCTTGACCTGCAGGGCCACAGAAGAGGTGGCTATGGGGCAGACTGTGTGCCATCCCCCTGCCCTATGTGCCAGTGCAAACTTGCTGCTCATATAGGACAAGCAGAGGCTTGTGACCTCTCAGGTAGGACAACCAGAGGTTTAGGAAGCCAAGCCCTGAATACTGAAATAAATAAAGTTAGAGAGGAAAGGGCTCAAGTACTGTGCTGGGCTGTACCCTCTGCCATAGGTATGTGTCTCAGCCCTTCAAGACAACTGTTAAGTAAAAAGCGTGATTCCCCTGCCGCTGTCTCCCAAGACCTACAGCACCTTTACTAAAATGGAAGGATCCTGGTCACATGTATAAACAACAGAATTTAGGAATTAAATGTCTCCCATTACAATCAACTGTGATCTCGCCAGTGGTTTAGAAAGTGATTCAGTGTACCTAGAGGTAGGAAAATAAGGCTGAATCCACTTGTCTGCACAGAGCCATCTACTTCTGCTTGGAGTGCAAAGATGTCTGCATGGAGCTGGTGCAGATGACACATCACCTATGGAAAACTTGTGTTCCTTTGGAACAGGAGCCGGAAGCCGGGAAGAATATTCTCAAGTCATCTCACCTATGTGTGAGTGACTGAACTGAGACAGTGGCTGATCAATAGACTGTCTCTACACTCCGTTACTCACATGCCAAAACCTAAATGTAAGTATCCTAATCTATGAACTATGTTCCACCAAAAATACCTAATAACATTGATATTTCCTAGTGTCATGCTTTCTGCTGGCATCTGTGCTCTGAAACATGCAAATCCTGTTACCCAGCTATGTCATCACTGTACAGCAAGTAAAGCAAGTTAATCTCTCTTGGCAAACACAAACAAGTCTTGCAAGTCTTCAACTGAATGTGTAGCTGTTCGCCCCAACGAACCAATGCAATGCTGTCAACACTGGTAAGTATCTTGGGTTTGGAGCGTCTCTTGCAGTTGTTTAAGTATGAAGTACTA